TCCACTACTAATATTATACTTAAGACAATAATTCAAAATATAATAAATAATATTTTCATCTACGTCATTTTTAACATCAAGCCGCGCAACGCGCGGGTGAAGTACTAGTTTGTTGTTCAATTCGTTTCCCACTTTGTCGCATACGAGGATTCATCAACAAAACAACTCCAGCAATGGCTACCCGTAAGCTCTTTTACCCGTATTCTCTGTTTCTTCATTGGGTTTTCCTTAAAAATCTCAGTTGAACTCTGATTTCGAATAAATTTAGCTACGGGGGTTTGTTGTTTGGTAGTCCCAGTTGAACTTGTTTTCTAATTTTAGACATTATCTAGTTTCTGGAGGTGCTGTGCAAGAATTCTGGGAAAATAAGTCAGTTTTTCGGTCGGGACTGAAGCTGGTTTTGCTGTTAATTTGATTAACAAGAAGTTGATGAATGATAGAGACGGTGTTGAGAATGTTCTGATTGCATCCCACATCGAGGCTTTTTAAAGAAGGAGAATTAGGAGAAGAGCCCGTTAGCTTTGGCCACATTTCCTTGCTAGTGGATTATGGACCCGGTGGGAAGTTGCAAACAGCCCTTGAATCGAACGGTGATAGTTGAACTTCACTAGTTTCAATGTTGTGGATATTTGGACACTAATGTTGTTGTGATAATTGTCTTGCATTTGATGCCATCCCTGTTAGATTATTATGTGGGCTCGTAAGGAAATTCGGGATGAAATTTTTGTTGTTCTCGGTATTTTGTTCATGGGTTTTCGTTTTAGTTGTCTGTAAATGGATAATGATAAGTGTTCCTAGTTTTTATCTGGTAATGAAATAAGAGTCCTGGGTACTTTAATTTTATATCTCTTGTTGTAGGTGATGAAGGAGCAGTCCACGAGGGCACAAGAAGAGTGCGGAAAGCTTCTTCTAGGGTATGACATCTCCCCTCGGTTAGATTTTGGATTTATTTTGAAAATGATATAATACTAGATTAAAATATGCCCGAAAAACGAGTGGGAAAAGCATATGGCATGCTTTAGGATTTCAAATCTTGAATGGAATGTGGTTTTTAATGAATATGTTATGAGTCCTCTCACAAGAAACTGATC